AATAGCCCACCTTTCCTCTTTTCCATACCACACTTCGGAAATTTTCTATAAATGTAGTTAATATTTTCTCTGAAAAACTGCTTTATCATTCCTAAATTAAATACATATAAAATCCCTAAGTTCACTTTGAGAAAATTCGGCGACTTCGTTGTTTCTGAGAGTATGCAAGCATTGTTATTAATTATATTATTTGCGAAATTGGCAAAAACATCCAGGGCAAAAAAAAAAAATATTTGTTTTGTATAGCTTTGCAAACAGTAGGAAGTTTACGGGATTCGAATGTTGTTCATTACGAAGAATGGACAAAAATTACAACCAAATATTATATATGTATGAGCCATAACAGACGGCTGTCAGATCAAGACAGACGCTAGTAGACAAATAACAGTACTAGCACCCGAAAAAGCTTAAATTTTTCATGCTGTGACCACATGATAAACTACAAGCAGTAAAAGTAAGACTATGCTTTATATAATTATAATGAAAACTCTATTGACTGGAATAAAACATGTTTTTCTATAGATTCGAATTTAGAGAACACAATATATTGATATTTTAATAAAAAGTAGTAAGTAAAACGTAAAGTATTTTCCAAGTTGTAGTGGCGCGACAAGTTTATAGCGGCTTATCTGCTTACAGCCAACCCCTGAACTCCAGAAAACAATCTTTGAAAAACGAAAAAGAACAAAAGAATAAGCAGTTATCCAGATGCACACCAATTAACAACAGCAGAGATCTCAGGTGCCAAAGTAATGCAGAAGACGACGATGAGTTTACCACAAATTTCCAAAATAACTTTACTCCTAACGAATTTAGTGACGTTTCAGAGGTCAGCAAATTTTTTTAACACTACTTGTCAGATGGAGTTATCATTCGCTGATATAGATGCTGTAGAAGTACTGGAGGAGATCAAAACGTTGACAAACAAAAAATTATCAGTTTGTAAGGCAGCTAAGGTTCAATAACGACAATTTCAATAAATACGCAATTTCAGAAGCGAAAAGTGTGGAAAATTGTAAACTGATATCGTAAATATAGTTCGTTTATAAAAGCAGACGGATGGACATGGCTGATCTAAATTGACTCAGCTGATCTTTCATATATATACTTTAAACTACTAGCAACTCGTTTTCCTGAAGATGTAACAAAACTTTGTCTTTTTTAGCTGTGAAGACTGACGGAAGGTCTGGAACGGATTTTACGGCTTTGCTTTCTTAGAAAAATATTAGAAATGTGAAATCCAAATAGCTTACTTTATTAAAACCAACCAATTTTGCATTTCACATAAATGTAAATCAACCTTTAACGAATTTCATTACTGTACCTCTTTTCCATGCCTTAATCGGTACTTTTGTATGTTACGTATACGCGCTGACGAACCAAGCATTCACCATACAATGAATTCTTTCAATTATTTAAGCATTCAAATAGGGCTTTATCTTAAATTTTCTAAGTACATAATTGACTATGAAATGGATAAAAGTTTTAGGTATTATTGCTTATTTATTATTTAATTTCTGCTATAAACATTTACTCATGTAAACAACATCTGTCTTAATATAAAATTCCGCTGTCAAATTCTTAATTAAATGAATGAAATGTACAAATTAAGCTGAATTAAATGCCACAAACAAGTTGACAACGAAGACAACAAATTTTAACACAAACTCAAATACAAAGCAGCACTTTCACGTCAACACACTCGCAGAAAGTTAAGTAAAGATAAAAGCCCACAAGGACAATTATAATGAAAGTTGTCCTTTATTCATAAATAAATAAAGCTACTAGGTAGTACAATGTTTGTTTCATAAAATCTTACGGAGCTATATAGTAGGTAATGTAGTTGTGTATATGGTACGTTAGGTAGTGTGATGAAAAGAAAAGAAAAAAAAGGTAAATATTTATTCCTTCAAATAAGTCTCCTAGAAGCCTGGGTAGCTAGTCATACACTCTTTAATTGCAGTGAAAGCATCTGTTCAATTATCCTATATTCAACCATATCCTTCTTCAAGACAAACCTAGCTTATGTCTCTATGAAACTGTTCAGAACATTTAGGTTAACGCAATCTATGGTAAGGTGTCGAAAAATTGAAATTATCCAACATTTTTGAGTTCTACCACAACTAGTAATGAAATCCATACAAATTTTCGAACTTATCATGACCTGATATCAAGGTAGAAAGGAAAAAATTATTCAGGGTAATTAATATAACTTCCTTCGACTGAAATACGCTGCTTGTGAATCACCAGGCTTACATAGCAAGCGGACCAACTAATACTGCTCTGTATCAGTTAATTTCGGAGAGGAAAAGTAATTTTATGCGCCTTTTTAGACGTCGAGTGCGCTTTTGACAACAGTTCTCACAATAGCGTAGCCAGAGCACTGGAGAAAAGGAATCTGCCAGCGCCGGATAGAGGCCGTACTGCGCACGAGAATAGCCGAAATATCAGTTAGTTGTACACCATGATCTTGCGGCCGATTAGCATGTCAGGGGCACAGGCTTAGACTTCAAAATCAACGCAGACTTCAGTAGGCCTCTAAATATCGAAGCTGTAACGACTTACATGTATCTGCAAGTCATGCTTGAGCTCACGCCACTTCAGCTAGTAATCGGTCAGGTAGCCAAGCACATACTACTTCAAATAATAGCAGAAGGAGTTGGCAAAGATGAGGTAATATTATCGCAGCAGATGAAGGACTTAAGTGGTGCAATACCAAACAAGGGTTAGCATTAGCAAAAGGGTAAACTTCGTCAAGAAGTTCAAGCTTCCCCTTGGACCGAATTTAGTGATGCCACTCTCGAGCTACTGCTTAGTTATAGTAAAAATCAAGTCGTATCGCTCAAAAACGTCGGAGGGAATTGGTACAGGACCATGCACCAAACCCTCTATAATATAGAAAGTTTTCCGAGCATATATATGGCAAGCAGAAGTCTTTGCCATAAGTAGGTGCGTAGAGAAAAACCTCCAACGCAACTATCGCAACGAACGTATAACCATTTTTAGCTACAGTCAAGTGGCACTTAAGCAATCTCTGTCGAGATCTAATCGCTACTGTGGCAAGATTGTAGAGAACGACTGAACAGTTTATCGGAATGTAACCAAGTGCAAGCCTAATGAGTTCGCCCGCTTCGCAGCATTCACTAACCTGGTAAAATTTGAACCTTTCATCGCGGTTGGTCCTCATACCAAGAAGTAGGCAGAGACAGATATTGGCCGTTGATCCACGCCGTGCGCCATTCCAAGTTGCTGATGGGGGTTACAACCTCAAATATGTAATCAACCTGCCTAGGGATAATCTCAAGCTACTTATCGCATTCTACACTGGCCACTGCAAGCTCAAGAAATACTTATATAACATGAGCGTAGCTTCTTATGCCAATTGCCAGTTCTGCAACAGGCAGCCTGAAACTCCAGAATACCAGCTAATTGACTTCATAGCTGTCTTCAGATGCAGGATAGAGGCCTGTGGATCCATGTTTCCAATTAGCAATTTCATTAGTATTTATTATTGTTATAGTCTAAGTCGCGCTTACGACTTCAGATCTAAGTATTTTATAGACCACCCGATAAAAGTGCAACTTATGTTTTTAGAAACACAAGTTGAAAGTTCAATTTCCTATAGGGCATTCACTGACATATGAATTTATTTACTTTCCATTTACAGAATAAAAATTTCAAGTGGCGCAAAAATTACTATTTTAAGCTTGCTAAAAATAATTTAAAGCATATTTACATTTGCATAAAATTTTTCCATTTCAGTTACAGTTAGCGGATCGCCATTGAGGAAGGAAGTGCTGCAACATTTTTGCGCGCGGAAATTGCCTAAATACTTTTGCACCAATTAGAGCGCCAGCAAAGCGCATAAAACCATTTGCTTATTTGACTGCGGCAAAACACAGCAAAACGTTAGCGTGGATTAAAAAATACAACAAGTAAACACATTTGGCAACTGCTGCTGGTGGTGAAGACAACATTTCGGCAGTAAACATTTGTGAACGACCGACAAGTGACAGCAGCCAACACACAAAAACAGCAACAACAAGACGTGCTTGGCATTTTCTTGCCTGTTGTCTGAAGGGAGTATTATAAAATAGAAAAGGAGGAATAGGAGAGATAGAAGAGAGAAGGCGAGAGAGGGCAGCAAACACTCCAGAACACGCTAAAATTCACCACTTTAGAGGACAAAAAAGACGAAACTAAAGCAAATAGGAGGAAATACAAAGAAGTCAGCGTGACGAGCTTTAAACTCACTCACACACACGCACGTACGCAAACAAAGCGCCGTTGAATACAAATATTAGTGTTATAAAACATTGTATGCACGCCTCACAGCTTTCACCGGCAATATATACGAGTGTGTGTGTATATTTTTGTAGGGATGTGTGCGCGCTGAAGCGCTATACCCCCAGGCAGCAGAGCAGCTCTTAAGGCGAATCAGCAGCGCACGCTGTCATCGTTGTAACTTATCCAGCGGATATTTAATACACACAAGATGTTGCAAAAAGCGCCTTAAAGCGTGCTAAAGAAACAGCAGAAAGCCACAGTGACAGCGCGACAATTGAGCCAGAGCAGGCTTGATTACTAAAACAACAACTAAAAAGCGCTGCCTGCTTGATTTATAGCAAGGCGCCGTGAAATACGAGCGCGACAACACAACAACAACAAGCGCGACAGCACATTAACTACATTTGTTGCAGCCACAGAAATCAACAACAAAAAAACAAAAAGATAACAACAACAAAAAAACAAATAACGTGAAGCGCTGAGCGCTGAGCTCAAACGAAAATCACCCGAAGTCAAAAAGCGCGCAAACGAGTTGCTGCTTCGTCACAAGCAAAGTAAGAAAAGCGCCAAAGTACAGCTTTGCTTATCAGAAGCGTGTGAATAATATTTGCTAAGACTCGCGAGACTCATCATTCTGGTATTGCAGCAATTTTGTCGCAATTTGAGTTGCAGTTGTCACAACACTTGCGAAACACTCACCTGTAGTACAACAATATACTTGAGCGCCGCTGCGTGTGCGCTGTAAACACCCTTTGGCTTTTGGAATTTGCACACGTCTTCACGCGCGCCAGCTTTACTCGCACAGCAATTGCCGCTTACGACGCCAAAATGCGCGGCCGCCACCTACGCAGACGTTTCAGCTTGCAGCCGTCCTTCATGAAGGATGACAGCTCGGAGGATAAACCGAAACGCGACAAGTAAGTCTTTGCAGTTGTGTTTTTCCAAAACATTTTTGGTTTGCTAAGCTCTCTATTTTGTCTAAGTTAGCCCTAAGCTTTCTGCGTGCAAGAGAAATGAGTATGAGTATCTTCAAAAGCTTGCAAGGTCAGGAAAAAATTCAAGAGATTACAATGTGCATATAAAGAGTGATCCATTTCGATGTTGCCTACTTTTTTAAAGACAAAACTCAGAAACTTCAAATTCAATGATAAATATGAATTAACATTCGAAAGAACATCCTGTGGTATTTAGTTTTTGAAGATTATCTCTTTCCAATGTTGGTCGCAGCTACGTCTCAGATGGTCCGTCCGTTGAGTCCAATTTTCCATGACCGTTCGAGCATTTCGACTGGTGACTGGCGAATGACACGCGTGATGTTTTGCTTTCAAGGCCTGAATCAAAGCGGGATTGTCCACATAGACTTTAGACTTTACATATTTCTAACGGTGTGATTATCTGCTCACCGAAGTCTTCTCTCAAAAAATTCATTGATTGATGCGATTTGTAATAAACGACGCCGTTTTGTTGAATCCAAATATCGCCGAGATCACGGGCATTAATTTCAACATCAAATAGTCGGCTTTCAAGGCGCAAGGATTGACGGGTACGGCATCATTTTTGAAGAAATATGCACCGATGGTTCAACCGGCCCACAAACCACACCAAACCATTATTTTTCTGGACGAAATGGCAGCTCTTCGTCCCAAATGCGGCAATTTAGCTTATCTACACACCGATTTAGCCAGAAATGGGCCTCATCGCTGAACAAAATAACGCTCCAAAAAATCGGCTCTTCTTGGAACTTTTCAAGAGTCCATACAGCGAAGCAATGTAGCTTGGGAAGGTGAAGCGTATTCAGTTCCTTTTATTATTTTTTATGTTTTCAATTTAAGATCTCGACGTAAAATGTGCAAAGTCGTTCCTTATGTCAATCCGAGTTGTTACGAACGGCGCCGAATCGACTCTCACGGTCTTCGTGTACAGTCTCACTTGTACTTGGATCACCCGTTTGTGTTTTCATTTCTTAACCGCGTCGTACTCTGAAAAATTTTGCTCATAGGCACCTCTAAGAAAGGCTCTACAAGTATGAGCTCTTAACTGTAATGGAATGGTTCTCCGCCTAGCGGTTATCTATTTTTATACCCTGAACAGGGTATATTAAGTTTGTCACGAAGTTTGTGACACCCAGAAGGAAGAATCGGATACCCTATAAATTATATATATATATGATCAGTATGTCGAGCTGAGTCGATTTAGCCATGTCCGTCTGAGTGTCCGTCAGTATATATACGAACTAGTCCCTCAGTTTTTAAGATATCGTTTTGAAATTTTACGAACGTCATTTTCTCTTCAAGGAGCTCCGATATCGGAGCACTATATCATATAGCTGTCATACAAACTGAACGATCGGAATCAAGTTCTTGTATGGAAAACTTTCGAATTTGACAAGATATATCCTCGAAATTTGCATCGATTATTTTCTAAGACAATAATGTAATCTCCGAAGAAATTGTTTAGATCGGATTACTACAGTATACAGCTGCCATACAAACTGAACGATCAAAATCAAATGCTTGCATGGGAAACTTCCTCATTTGACGATATATCTTCACGAAATCGGGTATGAGTTATTGTTTATAGAAATAATATAATATCAGAAGAAATTGTTCAGATCGGCTTACTATAGCATATAGTTGCCATACAAGCCGAACGATGGGAATCAAGGGCTTGTATGGAAAAGTTTCGCATTTGACGTCGTATCGTCACGAAATTTGGCATGGATTTCTACTTAAGTTAAGAATATAATTTCAAAAAAGAACGGATTACTATAGCATAAAGCTTCCATACAAACTGAACACATAGTTACTAACAGAAATGCACCTGTGAAGGGTATTTAGCTTCGGTGCAACTGAAGTTAACGTTTTTTCTTGTTTCTTATTATTAATAGATAAAAAAATTTGTATCTCGCATTCAACTCCAAAGTGTTAGGTATCACCAACAAACTCAAATTTGTTTTTTGATACACAAATAAAAAGAACTCATCCTTCCATACCACAAGAAAGTTAGCAGAGATTTTTGATACAAAATTTCCTTCAAGGCCCAGCATTTTGCATTAACTTTGCTGAGATAAATTCTCGAATATATGGTCTTACGCAATTTGAACTGCTTCTGCAGTTTTGTCACAGGCTTGTTTATAAACAAAATCCTTATGAAAAAGTGAAAAACGATTTATGATTAGGTTAGGTTCAAAACTCGTTCCTAGCAGCACTCTCACTTAGTCAGCTAGTTTCCGGGCCGTTAGGGTAAACTATAAAGTTCAGCATTAAGAGTCTCATAAGTCGACAAAGTGCTTTGTCTCCTGGTTTGTCTATGATATAACTGCCGAGATGTTTCAAACTCAGTCTTGTAAAGATTGGACAACGGTGGAGAGAGTACGTGAATACTTCCTCCTCACTTTCTTCCAAACAACTTAGACCAATAAACAGCGTTCAATAAGGACTCCTGCGATTGCAGCAAAGTGAAACTCACTGGTTTCAGTAGTGGTAATTCAGCAAATATCCTGCGTTCTACTCCAGGCCGAAAGAGTTCGCAGTAGCATAGAAGCTAGTCGTCGAGTAAAGTCTACGCGTGGTTCACAGGTGCAGTATTAGAATGCACGATGACAAAGGGACTTTAACAGTGACCTAAAGTTAAGCTTGACGAAGAGCTCCTTTCAGAAGACTACCCCTTGAACCCAATTTCCTAGCAAACCATCCGTGAAAATACTCGTTGTGCTCCTCCTTCAATGACTTTTCACCATCCACATATTTCTCGTCAATATGTGAGTGGAGAAACAACAATCATAAGTCTCCAATGATACAATTGAAGAAGAAGAGAGCGCTGTTTGAACCCTTTCATATATCAAGTTTCTTTGAGCTACCTTCGCATCAATATACCTGCCGACAATATCCACAGGTGCTATTTATTGGCATTTAGTGCTATTGTTAGTTTACATAGTTCACAGTGCACCGATGAGATCTGCTCTTTGGACACGTTCAAGCTTCTTAGCGAGTCCAACCTTTCCGAGCGCTCTCCACCAGACGATTACACTATAGAACATTATTGGCGTCACTACGATTTTTTAAAGTCAAAACACCACCTTTAATGAAAGTTTCCAACTCTTCCCTATAGCTTCTCTATAGCAGTGTAAGGCTGTTGCCTTCTCTATCCACCTTCTTTACCCTTTCTTCAATATTTGCTCTACTCTTCTGTCTGTATATACACGAACCAGTCTCTCAGTTTTGGGATATCGATCTGAAATCTTGCGCATCACCTTTTCTCTCCAAGAGCTCCATACAAACTAAATAAGCGATCAAAGTCAAGGTGAAGATCTTTTCATGCTCTCTTAAGCCATTAGAATCACATCTCTTTTGTTTAGAAACACTGTTTCACTATAGGTAATAAGTTTTTGCTCGCAACTGTATTTATCACAAAAGCGTTCTGCTTCAAGTGCTTAACGGTACCTGCTAAAGCGCAGCCTATCTTCACCCCAGCAACATGCTTTGCATTTTCGCTAAAATTTGTGATTCTTATTTGTTGGTATTCCAGAGGTTTACTTGCTTGGCTGATTTGTTTGTTTAATTTTTTACTTGTATTGTCATCATTTATCTTTGCTTTTTAGCTTCTTTTTGCTGTCTTTCATTTGTGACTTCTTTTTTCGAATTTCGTGTTCAATCTACTGGGTGCTTTTAGTGCATTTCGTTATTGCCAGCAAGCATCTGTCACATTGTTATGATTACCTTCATTGTTGTCTTTGTCGTCGCTGCTTTGTCGCAGGCATCATTAGTGTGCTTGTGTGCTCCCCGCAGACAGCGCCCACAGTCAGGCATATTTCGTGTTTATAAAGAAACAAATTATTATTTTTTTCTCATATTTGTTCAGATTTGCAGAAATTCATTCATTCTGCTGTATTCTGTATGGACCGAGGCATTTATTCATTGTCATTCTCAATTTGCTTATTTGAAAATTGCAAATGTGAGGAGAGAGAGAGAGAGAGAAAGAGAGACGGGTGGAACAAAATTTAGCTTGGAGCCTATGACGCAGAGCTTCTTTTTTATTAAATGTGTACTTGTTGTGCTTAAATTGAGATATTTTGAGATATAAATGTATCTGTTTATTTACAAATACACACACTCTATTTACCGTTGCTTATTTGCCTAAAAACCAAAATTACTCTTGAAATTAAGTCAATCGAAGCGTAACTGTACACGGATTTTCCAACTCAGTGAATCAACCGGAGCTTAGGAGCAAAAAGTGATCTATTAAAATTGGTGTTTCTGGGCGAAGAATTGATTGAAAACGAAAGTTTTCTTTTCGTATACTTAAAAGTAGTTGTTAAACATAAACTTCTTACCGAACAAAAGAGTAATTAACTTTGTTATTTAACATGTAATTTTAAGACACCGAAATTTCCTTTCTTTAGCAATCAAAACAGTTCTAATAAATCTCGGTGGAGCCACATATCGCAGACGAGAGTTTAGAGCTCTTTTTAGCATATCTACGTTTAGCCGACTATAATTCTTCTTCTTCTTATCCTTTTTTATTGGCGTAAACAATATGGACACAATTCCAAGTGTTGCCAGGTCCTTCTCCACCAAGTCTTTCCAACGCAGTGGCGGTCTTCCCCTTCCTTTGTTTCGCCCTTTCTCTCAAAAACTCGTAACGCCGACTCATCAGATGTTGTTATCGTCCATGCCTCTGCATCAGACAATAGGACGGAAAATATGAGAACCTTGTAGAGTTTGCAATTTGTTCGTTAGAACAGGACTTCATTTCTCAACTGCCTACTCAGTTCAAAGTAACATCTGTTGGCAGAAGTTATTCTACGTTGGATTTCGAGGCTGACGATGTTGTTGATGTTAATACTGGTTTCAAGATAGACGAAATTATCAACGACTCCGAAGTTATGACTGTCAACAGTGACGTTCTGGAGAAAGCA